TTGCATTGCCACGTCTAAGTCCAGTTTTCCCGATATAATGGACTCGGAATTCACGTCAGTGCACCTTAACACGTCTGACCGCGATTGCAAGCGGTTTCATGGATCCAGCTTTTTACGTTTCGTCGACCATAGAGTTGTGGCAAAATGACGACTAGGCCTAAGGGGGTGGGGGCCAAGGTGACCTTTTCATGTGTCGCAGACGACACGGGAGCGGGGGTTTCCGATCAAACTAGGCGCAAGATAGTGCTCCGTGATCGGCTTCTCTCTTTCCCCGACCCATCAGCCCGAAATGGGTAGAAGACCATGAATACCTAACATACCACTGCAGAATTAATATTCGAATAGCTAAGGTTCAACACGAACCGTTAAAATTTTCATCTTATTTACAGAGAGTGATTTGCGAAAAGGGCTTCATTAGGTAAATGTTCTAATTGATCAATTGAGAGGACAGAACTTGCGTGACGAAGATAGCAGGAAGTTGAGCGGCGTGACCTCGGTAGAGAGGGTCCGTAGGGGTTCGTAGCCTGTCCTCACCCGTTCCGTCCGCCTTCTCGAACGTCCATTGCTTCGCTCGAGGGTGAGCGAAGCAATCTTATCGAAGGTGAGGCGTACTGATCGCCATTCGTCATCTCCGCACAGCACTGTCATGTGACACCGATGCCGTATTCCGATCCCACTCCTTGCCCGGATGTGGTGCACGTGCAGCTGCAGGACGGCGGAATCGGATGGAAGTTGCGGCGTCCATCTTGCTTCTTCCTCCATTTGAACGAATGGCTCCATTGTTTCAGCACTCCCATTACGAACATAGTGCTTTAAATCGCATCGCAGTGCAACTAATCCCGTAGCGTCAGAAATACATGGATTCGGTAGTACTGTCCAAAATGCGTCGAATCGAAAAATATGATTCAATTGTAAGTCATTCACTTCCATCACGCAGGCGAGAATCTTGAAGAATCAAATCACAAAAGTCAACTTTTCTATCTTTGTCCAGTCAAAAATCGTGTTGTCTCGAAACAATGTAGCATGGAGAGCACGTAACACAAAAAGCACAAGTCACGTATCACGAAAACTGTCGGGCAATATCACACGATCGAGTTGCCAAATGCAGGTTCGGCACTAAGGTTGATTCCCTTGGGGTTCAATCGCAGTCCAGCTGAGGTCAAGTTGACATCTTGGTAGTAGTCGTGTTCGTGGCACCGCTATCGTCGATGGGAGCTTCGGAAATATACAGTCGCACTGTAATTCTAGGTCTCGTCAACCACTACAGAGACCATGACGAAACACCCGTGGAACTATACAAAAGTGAGGAATACAGAATCGTGACCTGTCTGGTCGCCGTTGCCTGAGGCAGAGCTTGCGAGGGAGTGCATGCTAAACAGGGAATCACGCTCCGAGATATGGGTCTCTCGTTCCAGACGGTTTAGTCGCAATGTCTCGGTAGTAGAGAACACGACGAGTGATGCTAGCGGGGTAGCCGAACATCAAGGAACCACGACTGGAATAAATATCTGAAAATCTCAGTTTCTGCTCAGTCCAGTCTCCTCGGTTGACAGAAGCTATGCCCCGACTGGGACTGAGTAACGACTGCAACGGAACCGCGACAGAACACAAATTTGAAAGGAATCCAAGCGTATGTATTCGTCCCCATGCCGTTACCTCATCCGTACACAGAACACAGCCGATCCGATAGACCAAAGTAACTTTCAGCTGCTGACCTCCCCGATGAGTGAGGGATGTCAAAGGATCCGTTATACCTGCGGCGAGTCTGCACCAGGCAAGGATCCGTTGGAGCTGGAACTCCTGCCCCGCTTTCGAATCTTTTCCTCAAAACCTTTGACGAGTTGAGACAGGGTGATCGGCGGGATGGCTTCTCACGCCTACATAAATCTGAGGAATAATCCATAAATCTTTTTTTTTTTCCGAATATCTTTGGAAAATAGCTTTTCCCGTCTACACTCGAGTCGATTGCCAGCAAGAAAATGTCCTATTTTGTCCTACGTATCGTCAAGAATCTCTCAGGTCTGATGAGGCCATTGCATTGTACCTAGAGGAACCTGCTTCTCATGGAAATTGTTCTGGAACTCGACTTCATTATTCCCATAGGCAGATAGGGCTCAATTCCCTCAGACTCAATTCCCCTGAGTGACAGTAATAAATAACATTAGGCAAATAAGGAGGGGGGGGGAGGGGGATTCCCCACTCGCTTGAAAGCGTGGGGGAAATCGTGGCGTTGGTAAGCACCAACATTCCTCAAATTTTACCGAGCACAGTATATTCCTTCCATGTCGGGAAAAATTATTTCCGAAATAGGGCGGGCAATAAGAAAGACTACATTACTCTCCCTTAAAAAAGCCAAGGTTATATTCAAGCCAAAAGTGGAATAGTTGAACATCTCGGTCACATTGAGGTGAAATTTAAGGGTAACCTCGTGCCAGGTGAGAATTTCAACGATAATCGCATCTGATTCCAGGTCTTTTACACTAAAGTCCGAAAAAAGGGACCGAGGTGTCTTAGAATTCCAAAAATAAATGCGGACCTCTCGGCTAGAATTAGATGGCCTGAAATCATGAGAAATATATAAAAGAGTATACAGACTTATTGTTGAACTCAGAAGCATTCCAAAACCATTGATTTCGGTGGCTGGAGTTTGGTACCGTAGCAAGAAGTCGACGTGACAAATTATTGCATAATTTTGGAGGACCATGCATTGCAATAAAAAGACGATGTATCTTGCTACGCGATATTTTGCTTAGGATCGAATTTAATCAACGAGAATAATTGCACCGCGTTTTCTTCGTTCCGTATTTTCTGCGTAACAGAACACCCAATTTTTACTTCAGGAGAATTGGTGTTACAGTGGCATTCCCTGCGTTTCTGCGACACTACCAACTGTAGGTGTTGCAGCCATTAGATGTCGCTCAATTCCAGAGCGATCAAATGCTCTGGTACTGCTTGATTCCATGCTCAAGAGTTTCCTGCTACGAGTTTATTCGCATTGTGTTTTTGAAATTGCTTATCTCTGTGCAGACGCATGTTTTCGCTTTACTATTTACTATTATGGATATTATTGATTGTCTCTCTTTTCTAGAGTCTGGTTCCAGGGCACTTTCTAGGGGCAGGCAATCGCCTGGGGCGCCAGCGGGGGGGGGCTATCAGACTCATCGGTACGCTGGTAGGAGGCTGCACGGCATAACATGAAATATCAATCATTTTAATTTTTCTATTGTCCCGATTAGCACTAGTTCGCATAAAGTGGACGCTAACCACTGGGGGGGGGGGGGGGGGGGGGGGGGGGGGGGGGGGAAGAAAGAAAGAAACGCGGAAAGAAACACAATAATAAAACAGGCATTTTTTATGTGGTTAGCGTCCACTTTATGCGAACTAGTGCTAATCGGGACAATAGAAAAATTAAAATGATTGATATTTCATGTTATGCCGTGCAGCCTCCTACCAGCGTACCGATGAGTCTGATAGCCCCCCCTCTCCCCTCCTTCCTACCTTCTCCTAGTTCATGCGGCATGATTCCACGCTGCGACTAGGCAGTGGGTGTCAAGTAGGGCTGTCACGATAAGTCGATGCATGGATACCTCTATCGATAGTTTTTTTAACCATCGCGATGTATGGAAAATTTTTTAAAGGGAAATGTTGAGATTGAGACAAGTACAGTACAATACAATCTGTCCGGACTGGTAAAGGAAGAGGCGGCGTGACCCGCACGGACGAACAATTTCTTATCACAATCAAATTCTGGAAATGCTGGGACCGACTATATGAAAGAAGGAAGGAAAAAAAGTTTGAATCGGATACAGGAAGTGGGAAAGGAGAGGGAGGGAAGACCGAGAATTTTTTTTTTTTTCTCTTCCGTTTCAGTCTTCGGCTCGATCTCATGAGGTGCATGCTGTGAAAGTGGACTGTTCTTTTACGACCTTCATTTCGAAACGTACATCGGTTAATCCCCTTCTCTATATATTCCTGTCTTTCTGTTTAGTATGGAGGCTTAAGGTTTTTAATTTTTAATTTGTCCTGGGGCATTTTACCTCTTTATTTAAGGTGAACCCACTCGGACGTCGCTTATGCAGGGCTGTAGAGATATTTCGACAACCGTCGGTATGGCACCATCCATAGGTTTCCTATCTGCTGGTGCCGATGCCCAAAGAACACCGTTTAGAACGAAGAAAACGGGGGGGGCGCAAAGAAACAATAATAAAAACAAGTATATATTTTTATATGGGTAGCGTGGAAGAAATGTCTTGACTTGGCTTTGATTATTTACAAATGTAAGAAAATGCTTTCCGTTGGAACTCCTTGCCCTGGCGCCAATATGCCTAGAAATGGCCCTGCCTGGTTCCTGGTTCATATTGCCACCGAGTAGATCCTCCGTAGGATTTTTCTCGATCAATGAGGAATAATGGACTTTGGCTCAACCTGGAATGCATTCTATAAAACAGCTATAAGAGCATTTTGACTTATAGAGATAGACACGTGGAATCTGAGGGCCTGTGCTATTCCCAAATCCCAAATATTCCAAAATTTATTACGGGGTGTGGACAGTCATATGGGAAGGTAAGGAACCGCAGCAAAAACAAAAAACTTTGCCTAAAATCCTCTCTACGGTCAACAAATACTGTAATGTCTCTAGGACTACGCTGCTTTCGAATATTATCCGTACCACCACTTCTGAGCGCTTCCATCGATTGCAGGCAGTGTTGAGAGGTTGTGTGGATTACTTGAAGCAGATCTTGTAGATGAAGTATACTATCTCCGATCTCTACATCAGAAGTGGGGGAGGGACGAATTCAATTAAAAAACACAATAGTCTCTGCCAACAGCGCTATTGCTGCCACATGACCTGCTTGTGACGTCAGGCCAACATGGCTCCCCCGTAGTCCCACGTGGATTCGTGCCGCAAGTGCAGAACTCATCCCTTTCGTATTGTGAAGCCCCGCTTCTACGTGCTGGTTAGGCAGAGCGTAGGCCTGTTTATTTATTTGTGAGGAATAATGGAAGAAGGAGAGTCGTTTCAGAGGTGTCAATTCTTTGTAGAGAAGAAGAAAAGACAATGCAAAGTCAGGGTATCCACTGGTAGTCAATTCTGTGGTCAGCATCTGATTCATGACACCGATAGCACTGAAAAAAAGAGGAAAAGAATTCCATGCCCCTTGGATCAAAACCAGTAGGTTTACTTTCTCTCAATCTAACTGAGATTCTCTCAGGATTAATAGTAGGGGACCAATATGGATATTCGAGCCAAAGACATTTTACTTCAAGCATAAGGCCTATGTCCAGTTAAAAGCCAGGCGTAAACCTGAGTTTTTTTGCTGGTGCTGACATGAAGGTGTAGAATCCATCTTTTGTTGCAGCAACTGCTATGAGGATTCCATAGCGAAGCACTTGAGGAAGTGCAATGCCAGAGAAAAGGATAAGCCTGCATACTACAAAAAAGGAATCAATATTGGTCTGATACCTGCAGAAGATGAAAGTGAATCTCAGCCAGCCAAGATTTTGGATAGCATGTCAGATGAAGAAGTTTCAGCCTTTATCCAGAGAGTGACAGAAACTTGTCAACGTGAGTATAAAAATAATCAGTGGGACCATGATTCTAGTATGTTCAGTCTAGTTCTGTTGTGGTCCATCACAATTTTTTTTTGCTAGCAGGATATGAGATTTATGCTGAGTCATTGTCATCTGAAGAGCTTCACCCTGCAATGAAGTCAGAAATCCAAAACCCTATCCAAGGTGCAAGTGCACTGAAACATCTGAAACAGCTATCATCTCTTCTATCTATCTTAGACAAGCTGGGGTTCCTATCTCAGGATAGAAGCTGCTTTGTGGAATTTGGTGCTGGAAGAGGTGAGGTGGAAGTTTATTATTCATCATTAAAATTATGATGGTGGTTCATATTTTCTATAGTTGAACTTGGCCATGCCTACCTTGAATTGCTCATTTATCAAAAACGTGTAAGATTGCAAGGCACTGTTGTATGGAGTGGCCATGCAGGAACATAGAGGTGGAGCTGCTAATAAAGCACATCCATCTTGTTTATGAATCCAGTTGACATTGTTCACTCTAGCTAGGAACCAAACCACAACAGATTTATTTTGTAGTGGTTTGGTTTCAAGCTGACATTCAGAAGTTCAATCATGGTGGAATGAAGGAGGATTCCTCTTGAATGCTTTTATTAGTGAATAGCATGCCTTGACATGTCAATGAGCAGTTATTCTCACTAACAGTTTTTTTTTTTTTTTCAATGACCATTTATTTGTACAGCATGCCCTTAACAGAAAGAGATGGGAAGGAGTGGAATATACAATTTGGGTATATAGAAAGGTGGTTTGTCTTCAGTTGTGGTTATAGTCCAGGTCTTGGGGTTGGATGGGTCCACAGCCAGCCACCAGGTGGTGTTGTCAGGCCAGACACTAACAGTGGCCCTACATCATATTTAGCCTACTGATACTACTATCTGATATGCATACTAATGCTTTTGGCCGGACTGTGTATATAGGTTTATGAAAGTCACAAGTAGCTGTGGGGGGGTCATGATTCCTCTTAGTTGTGAGAAATTAACCAAATTTATACATCTGTTTTGTTTTTCCAAAGCATCCCTTCCTTTCAGCATTCTGAGGTTCATGTTCTGGTTGAGTGGGCAAAGTGATTAGATCACATTAGATAGTCAAGCCCATGGAAGATGATACTGATTTTTAAGCTGATTCCTGGAGAATCCTCAATTTTATTCAATGATAGAGATTCAATGTCTCATATTACCTAGAAAATACATGGAGGGACATGTACCCTTGAGAGAAAAATAAAAGCATAAAGGAGTAGATAGCTTGATATGGTACTCCTGCATTGATGAACTCATCAACCAATTCTGTTCCTCTTCATAATTATTATCTCAATGAAAAAAAATATATATATATATTTATATATATAGATACTGCAATCAACTAATATCATGTCTCTTTTCAATTTTATTTTAATTTTTGTTTGGTCATTGATACTCATTGAAGTTTTGGTTTCCCTTCAGACCTAATGAAAATACACATGAATTGTGCAGAATGTGAACAAGATAGTTATGATAAATGGTTATCTGTGTTGTGTTTCAGGAGCGATGACATATTGGCTCACTCAAGCTGCTCTTTCAGCATCTACTTCCCTTTTTGTCCTTGTTGACAAGGCCTCCAACAGGCACAAGTGTGACAATCGACTCCGTGATGAGAAGAACCTACATCTGGAACGTGTTCGGATTGACATTGAGGATCTGTGCCTTGATAAGATTCCTGCCATCTCTTCTAATTCTTGGCAAAACTGCATTGCTGTATCCAAACACCTTTGTGGAGCAGGCACAGGTAGAGTAGACACAACTTGATATAACATTTTTTGTTCTTTTGTGGTGACCTTTCTTTATTTTTTTTATTTACAACTATTTAGATATGTTTTGTATGATGATACTTAAAAGGTTTTACTACCATCAAGTCTTGTGAACATACCACTGCTCTGAACTGAGCTAGGCTAGTGGCAACATCCACCTCCTCTACTGAAAATTATTCCAGAATATATCAGAATCACTCAAATTGAGCCTTCAAGTATATTAATTTCTGGCATAGGTTTATTCAGGAAGGCAGAGAACACAAAATTGTCCACAAATAGGCATCTCTACCCAAGCAGCTTTTTTCTGTTATATGTAATGAGAGGATGAGTCTGCTCTGTCTGCCTGCTCAGCTGCAGTATTGGGTGTGTCTTGGCATGCATGGTAGAAGCACCAGGTTTATCATGCTGACACACTTATTTGACATAGCACTGGGGAAAAAAAAACTTTCTTAATTTCTATAAAACAAAAATTAAAATGTTATTCCTGTAAATTTCCTACTGCTACATCATGATATTCATTCTGTCTGAAGCCTTGTAAAGTTGGAAAATTTTAACTTGATTAATAGAATGAAAAATTTTGGGTTATTACATAGCTACATGACTGCTCTGAAAAGAACAGAATTATGGAAAGTAAAAAGCTTGATCCCCTAGGGGTAAGATAATAGGATGAAGAGGTAGAGGACTGACTAACTTGTTTGCACAGAATGTAACAGCTCTCTACCTTGGGTAACTATGAGGGAAGATGAACTGCTCTGACAGAACTTACCCAAAGGGATTGCAGCAGTCCTCATCCCTCATCTCTCTTTGGCCCAACCCCCCAGGCAGCATGCCAGGGACAGGAAACAGAAAAAAATTTCTCCCTTATCCTTAATTTATCTTCATTAATAATATTTAATATTGGGGTTCAGTGGTCAAGTGGTTCTGGCTTCCGAGTGAAACCCAGATGAGAGATCAAGTCCATGTGGTGGCAGGCTCTACCTCCACCAACAGGCAACCCACCTGCTTTCATGGGAAGTGTCTGCTTAGGGTAACACACACATCACCCTGTGTGTCATGTCTAGGAGATATGGGTGAAGTACACCTTAAGAACCACTTGTGCCAGTCATGGGCTTAGACAACCCATGAGCTGCCCCTAAGGCCTCCTACAGGATTGTAGAGGAGTGTCCCAGCCTAAGGGACTGCCCCAGCCTAAGGGACTGTGATTGAGCTGTGGTGCTCGTGCCAAGCAGGTACCCCCTTCCTCTCTTTGTCATGTAAAATACATCCACTGTATGTCTGTCACATGTCCTGTCTTTTTTTATAAATAATAAGAATACAAATAATAAATATTTAATGGAAATTTGAAACTTATCAATTATTCACACTTCTGGACAAACAGGTTTCAAGTAAACATGGTTTGAAGGTGTGGTGTATAACTAAGATCAATAGATTCTAGGATTGCAAAAAAAAATGAGGTCATCACAATTTATCAGTAAAGAAAAGATTACTTGTCAATACTGTACTGAATATTATATTTCTTGCAGATGTGGCTTTGAGGTGCATTGAGCATGCCTTGTCAAACTTCCCAGCATTTGGTCTTGTACTTGCCACCTGCTGCCACCATCGTTGCTCATGGGACTCCTATGTTGGACAATCTTTCCTTCTTGTAAGAGGACTTTTTTTTATTTCTTTAGGTCTTAGGAAAAAGGGCACTAATTCTTTTGCTGGGCTAACACACCTTAATTGTTATCTTTTTACATTTGTACTACATTTTTAGGAAGCAGGCTTCTCCAAGAAAGATTTCTTAGTACTGAAAAGCATGAGCAGTTGGCTCACATGTGGCATGACCAACCGTCCACTCTCCCTCAACTCTGTTCATAACAGGTGAGGTAACAACATTCAAACTTGGTATAGTACTAATAATTTCCAGTGAGAATGAGTTGCTATGGTTTGAAAGTTATTCTTTCCTCATGCAAATACCATTCACTATTTTCTTACAGATGGCATGGATTGAACTTGGACGAACAGAAGAGGGAATCTCTGGGAAGAAAGTGCAAACTCATCATTGATCATGGCCGCTGTGAGTACCTGAAGCAGATTGAATTCTCCAAAGCATTCCTTCAAAAGTACTGCTCTAATTCTCTTACACCAGAGAATGTTGCAATAGTTGCCTCTTTGAGGCAATGTCCATAATCACGAAACATGTCTGACCAAAGGAGTTACTTACTTTCACGGTTCTTTACTTCCATAATGCATTTTTCAATCTGCTACCCTCACATTTCCTCCTCCTATGGATGGACTCCCCAGATATTCCTCCTTGAGTGCTCAAAGCTTCAGAAGAACTTTCTTGGAATCTTGCCCCAGTACAAAGTCATTTTATTCAGATGTGTGAATAAAACCTAATCTTTTTGCTGTGGCTTGCAAAGCAGAGTTTCTTTGCAGTGAAAAAAATTTTTAAAGCCAACTTCCTGCTGATGTTTCATTCAAACCAGTTGTTTGAAGAATTTTTTAACCATGCAGAGTTTTTCAATAAAAAATTTCTCAGTATCTATGGCAATGCAATTGCAATAAAAGGAAATCTTAAGCCTGCCACCTAATTTTGTTTTATCTTTTCAATCTCAAAGATTTGTGTCAATGATGAGCAAGGTATAGTATCCTTGTAAAATACTAAAATATTCCAAGTGTGAATTTTCACAGTGATTCAGTAAAGGTGATATGAAAAATCCTCAATAAAAGTTTTAAATGGTGCAACTTTTTTTCCTTTCTAAAGGACAGTAGCATAGCCAGGGTTTTGACAATGGGGGGCTTACTTCTCCTCGCCTGGGTGGGAGGGGGGTGGTGAATGCATTTAGACCAGAGTTGGGGGCGCTTCAGTCCCCCCATCCCCCTCCTCGCTATGCCACTTCTGAAAGAGTAGTAGTCCATCTTTGCTCAATAGCCTTTGTTAAGGCTTCACTAGAGTGAACCTTTCCCTTCCCTTCCCTTGAAAACCAGCATAACATCTGGCAATTCTTGGATGTAAGACCTTTCTTAAGCTTTCATTTGATGAACTTATTTGCTCTCTGCATGTAACCTGTGACTTTGATATTGAGGTAGAACAATGAAATGAACTCAAGCCCTATGCAATTCTTTCTGTTCTACTCCAAATGTGCCTTTGCCTGTTATTGATTTTGTCCCATTATGGCTAGTGCCAATTCTCTCAAGTCTGATCCCAGAAGCCGTGATTTGGACAGGTCTAAATTTTTCTTGTATTTTGTATTTCTGCTCCCTTCCATGTCTCTGTATGAAGTAGTTTCCTTGTTTCCTTGTCACTGTAAGAAAAGCTGTGGGGTTTCTGTTTTCAAAGGAGATTTCATAATCTCATAGCTAGTTCTGCATTGCTAAATATTTATGAAACTGATGTCTGCAGGAAGTTTCAGCTTGAACTTATATTCCTCAGAATGTTGGAAGGAATTTCCTAGTTGAAAAGAGATTGTGACAGATGACAGAAGCATTCTTTCAAGTTACAGGTGACTCTCGTTATATGCACTATTGTTATCCATGTTTTCGTATATCCGTGGTTTCATTTCGATGGAGACTATCACTATCCCTATCCACAGGCGCCTTGGAAGCTCCGCAATTCTTGGGAATGCAACCCCTGCATATAATGGGAGTCACCTGTATTCTTCCTCTTTGTCAGCCTGAGGTTTACTGTCCTCATGTTGCTTGAAAGTGTCTGACCTGCACCTGCCTCTGCATAGGTATGGAGACAGGTCCACTCGTTTAACCTCATGCACATGCAGGTCCTTCAGTTCACTCTGCTGCCATCATTCCAGTTAGTAGTATCGTATTGTTTCACCTGCTTCTTTACAATGTAGTGTAAAGTCTAGTGTTGCCATCTTTATCCTCGCAAAAAGATGAAGAACTTTAAAGCCCATGAACTTATGAATATCTTCTAGATGGCTGAAGTTTCATTGATGAAACAAGCCCGTTTGAAGGTGAGTTCAGTGCTCAATAAGGACACTGAAAACTTTGGAAAGCAGTTCATGATGGATGGGAACATGGAAACATGCTGGAACTCTGACCAAGGTTCTCCACAGTGGATTGCCATTGCCTTTAACTCTCCTGTGTTCCCAAAGAGACTACAGGTTCAGTTTCAGGGTGGATTTGCAGCCAAAGAATGTCAGCTAGAAATTGGCATTGAATCCTTGAAGGAGACTGAAGCCTTGGATCCCATCTACCCTGAAGATGTCAATGCCTTACAAGATTTTCAAATCTCTTCTGTATCTGTTCCCATCAAGTTCCTTCGAATTGTGTTTCCGTCCAGTACAGACTTCTTTGGTAGAATCATTGTCTACAAATTGGACATTCTCGGCACAATTGCCTGATTGAAGATTTTTGCTGTTATTTTTTTAATGAACAGTTATGAATAATGACTCGAAATCCTCCTTTTTGTGTGCATTTCAAATTGGACAACACTGGAGAGTAGACGGTTTTTTGAAAAGTCATCACAGACATTAATCCAAGCAGTGCAAGAGACTAGGAAAGGGAACTGGTCATTAGGAAACAGATTCCCGTTTGGCCTTTCTCAAGCTGATTCGGATGAGACGAAAGATGTTGCCCGACTTTGGAATCCCTGTACAGGTCCTGGGTCGCATAGGGAATTCCAAGGTTTCTTGCAGGAAAGTCTCATTCTCATTACAAACTGTTTTCTGGTCCTTGAGTCTCTCTCTCCTCTCTTCCTTTCCACTCCGCCTGAAAGGAAATGAGAATACTCATTTCGAATCAATGTTTTATTTGCTCCTTCCGTTGCTCAACAGTCTTTGTATGCCCTGTCTGGGGATGGGTGAGATCGTCCCAAGCGGTTCACAAAATGTTAAGTTGAACAGGGTTTTTTGTATCCTAGTAGTACGTACATTGTGATTGTGGCGACCTGGAACGGAGAAACAGGACGGGATTGAATACGAAGCTCTAAAAGTTATTTACCGCTCATTATATGTTATCATCCAAGTAGGGCCGTAGCCAACTGGGATGAAGGCCCCTCATTGAAAACATACCATCTATGCTACAACGAATGCAGAGGGGGATCGTACCTATGATTCCTGCATGCGTTAGTGGAGGAGAGCCGAAGAAAAAGGCACATGTATACAGTATATATATGTATTTAAACTTGAATGCTCTGTATACTGAACTCCTTTATTTATTTATAAGACTCCTTTATTCAATGCCCTCCCCCGGCTTCGGCTTACAACGTGGCAAAAGAAAGAAATGTTCGATTTTGCGGTCCCAATGACCTGTAAGTTTTGCCATCCATGCCGAAGTGTTTCAATTGCCAGATCAGCTTTTCTTTTATACAGTAGATGAATGAGAGGCAAGGAGATGAGGGCAAACTTTAAAGACAGTGGGGTGCTGAGATAAAGAAGTGGCTCAGCACACCCTCCCCCACCGTTCGTGAGCAGTACCTTCACATAACCACTCTAGACACCAAAACGGAGGTTCTGGCGACACCACTGCAATTGAGATGAAGGGTGGGTGGGCAGGGTTGCCCCACCTGGCAAAATTCCTCGACGCAGTGATTTCATGATTTACTGTATGTCCAGAATGTTCAATTGTGACTCAGGTTGAAGCTTAGCTTGAGTAAGCCCTCTGGGTAACGAACCATTTTTAGCTTTTTGAACGAACTTGACTTTGGATGATAGTTTTATTTCCCAATGCTGCAGTTCCCAAATATACTGTATTTGCAGGGGCAATTAGTGCCGTGGCTGGTGGGAGACGATTTTTAGTGTAGAATATCTTAAAAGTCACAATACTTTCATCCCGGAATACCTCTTAAGCATATTAGGATAAACTCTTTCGCTGCCGCATTTATATTTTCCCCTCTACCGTCGCTTGGGGAATTTGCTGGGGTCTCCGTTTCTACGTGGTAAAATCACAGTCCCAAAAATGCGACAGCCGCGGTGAAAGAGTTAGAGGCAATAAAAATGCTGCAATTCTGAAATACATCGTGAAAAGTACTATAAAGTATTGCACAGCACGAGCTTGAAGCTTTTAATCAGATTAGCACGGTTCCGTGGTTTGCGTATGTTAAGCCCATGCTCTTTTGATTACAGTTCCTTTGAAAGTTTCTATTTGTTCATGAGCCGTACCGGGATGAAAGCTTTGCGCTAATTCTGTATGATGAAAGAACACCCAAGAGAACACCAAGGACCACAAAGTTGAACTGCAGGAAAAAAAAAAAATTCCTGTGTGTAATCCCTACCTTTTCCTGTCCCCCCCCCCCCCCCCAAAAAAAAAAAAAAAAAATTTTTTGACTAATGGTTAATTTCTATTCCCTCCACTTGGCCTTCTATGCTTTATTTGTTGTCACCCTTTGTACTCATGAAATCAGAGTCAATAGATTTATTCCATTTTACAATTGTTTATTTGAGTTTCTTCAACTCCAGGCTTGCTGTCAATCACAAGGCCATGAGAAATGCATAGGGCTTGAGATTCCCAGAGCAAAGCTAAATTATATTGCATGCTCACTGTGTGAAGGAATGGCAGCACTGGGAAGAATTCTTTTTTTTCCCCTTTAAAAAAGGCTCCTTTGTCTCTCTCTCTCTCTCTCTGAACACTGATGGCCTTTCATTTTGATATGTCTCTACAAAGACTATCTGAAAGGCTCTTTCAGCTGGATCAAAGCACTAGGAAAGTTCAATGCCTGTTTCAAATCAGATATGGTCTCTGTTGCTGAACTTGAACAAGCACTTGACTTTGTCAGGATTTTGCAAAATCAGATTGACTCCTGAGTGGAGGCCTTGGTGATAACACAGAAATCCACAAAACCCTGTCTTTTCACCATCCAACAAGTGCAAAGACCCCATTCAGGAGTCCCAAAAGCATAATATTGCATCTGATATTTCATGGAGATGTTACATATCTTAAAAGTTGGTTCCCAAGCACTCTCCTTTGTGGCCTTAAAACTTGTTGAAAAGGTTCCTGGTCTCAGATATCAACTTATGTATGATTCAGAAAGCTCTTCCTGGATCCCAAGAATTATTCATGGAGGCCTGGGGGAACCTACAGCATCTTGGCTGAAAGATACAAATAGATGATATAAATTGCTTCATTTCCACATTGGAGAGGAATTACCCTGACTTGCATTGACCAGTAATCTGATGCTTCATCCAAACAAGGACTTTTTTTATGGATGTGGTATCTATATAAGAAACAATTATACATTGTCACAGAACATTTTATGCATATGATAAAACAAGTTACAAGGCCTACTCCAGAATTTTGGGACTAAAAAAAAGTAATAGCAGAGAATTGAAGAAGTATTTTTCCCTCATTTTTGAGGGAAAGCTTTCTGGTGTGTGTCAACTACTGTAGCCATAAAAATGCCAAATTGATGGCTAATAAAAATGAACTTGATGTGCATGCAAGAGGAGCTTGGATCTTATACAAGACTCTTTCCAAAGAATATATCATGCCAGTCCCTGTTTGCAGTTTTGTCACAAGGATGTGCTTTCCTGAACTCCAGTGTTTGTCAGTGAAGCACCTCCCCTCCCGAACCCTTCATCGGGTAACCCTGCCATGATTTCACTTGGGCATATTTTGAGCCAAAAGGTTCTGTCCAATATCTTTATAAATGACCCTGTGGTTAGAAGTAAGACATGTTACAATGAGTTTGTACCACACTGTCACCTTTCAATCATCACCAGGTTATGATGTAATTCAAGTCAAAACATGGTGGTTTATGTGCATGAAACTCCCAGCATTCTCTGTTAACTCAAACAAAGTATTATTCATGTACTCTACTAGCAATATCTCTAACAATAGAAAACTTACATCTATTTGAAGTTGGAGTTTTAGTTTTGGAACTCTGTATATTTTGTTAGTGACATCCAGCTTTCAGCCAGATTATTTAGAAGTGTCTGTTGTAAAAAATTATGTGACTGAATTTTTTTGTGGTTTCATACCCTGATTTATTTGACCTGGAAAACTATCATTAACACTTGCTTTTCCAAAATGCTACATTTTTCAGTGTAAACAAAAGGAAAGCAAACAACTTGGAGAGCCTGCCTTCACGCAAGAGCTTGAGACTGCTGCTGCAAGGGAATAAGGATGGTTCATTATCTTTTGAGACCATGGAACTAGCATATCTTGCTGCTGGACAAAGTGAAGATGAGGAAGATATCCCATCTGGTAGGACCTGGTGTGAATTTGAATGGATTAGAATTGATGGATGAAGTAAATCTCATTTCACCTTATATGCCTCTTGATATCTTGATTGTCAAAGCTTTCTTTTTACCAATAAGTTTTCCTCCATGGTCTCTAATATATTTTTCCTTGTCATGCAGGACCTTTGCAGATGAAAGATGCATACATATCGGAGCCAGATATATGGGATGAAACAAAATTGTTATTGGGCAGCATCCAACATTTCAGATCTGAAACATCTACCAAAGACATGAATCTCCTTCCTTTAGACGAGTGAGTTTATTTTTAAATGAAATGGTCACAATAGTGATTTAGATCATAAAGGTGAGTGCATTTTCATCCTTACTTCTAGATATCAATCAACACTGGAGGAGTTGAAGGTCACTGAAGAGTCATTTGCCAAAGTTGTCCCATTTTTTATTGTTTCCATGGAGTTCTACCCAAGTACTTCTTCTGTGCTCATTGCTGCTGGTGACGGAAGTGGACGTGTTGGTATGTAGGGAGGGTTGGATGATTTTAAATCAAGATGTAAAGCAATTTATCCATATTTAGGTTCGTGAATCCTATTTTTTCTAATGATGTTATTTGTGGTGGCTCTGAAGCTCCAAATTTCATGTCTTACGAAACATGAAACATGTAAATTTAGACCTATTATAGGGTAAGGGTAGGCAATGGGAACAGCTTAACCTTTCTCCTGTTTGTTTCTCTCGGGGAATTTTTGACGAGCATGCATAACTCTGAGAAAATCACTTGGTATTCTTTGCTTATGCATTTACATGAAAATGTTTTGGCATGAGTCAAGAGTGGATAGAGCAGAGAATGTTTCCTTATAAAACTTAGGCATATTGCTCTTGAATCTAATGCTACAGATACAATTTTCCTGGTCGATGTTTGAAGGAAAAAATTTTTGCAATAGGCTTATATAGGCTTATAGTCTTTTGCTGGGTTTTAAAGATGGAGAGACAGGTCTTTCATGCATTTGTATGTAGAGAGATCTCAGTTCTTCATCATTGCATTGATAAGAAAATGATAAGGAATCAGGCTGGACTGAATGAGTGGGAAATGCATAAAAAATCCCCAGCACACCATAAATAGAGACCTTCACAGACCCCCCTTCAAGCTACTCCACCAAATATGAGATGCTTGGCCAATCCATGCATCTCATAAAGCCATTCTGCCTCGAGAGATTTACTTCCAGTATGTAATCATCCTCATATCTTTCATTCCTTCTAGCATGACAATCCTTTCCAGGTTGGATCTCTCATTTGTACCATTATACATTCCATCCTGTCCACATGGAACCAAAATTGTCTTGAATAACAAGTGTTCGCCTACATTTTTGGGAAACCATCTACGCACATTGGATGTGACACCAGGTGACCCCAAGTTCTCAACTTTACACGACTACATGTGAAACCCAATGCAAGGCAACTTTAAGAAATCTACTTAGTGTTGCATGTGCAGCTCATTTTTTGAAGTTTTCCTGAAAAAGGGCCAGTTATGCTGGAATTTTGTATGCATCACTTATGTTGTGTTACCCCATGAACACTTCCTTTCTTTATCATCTTTTGTCAAGGAGGCAAAAAGAGTTCTACTTGTTCTAATTTGCCTGTAATAATTTATAACCCTTTCTGTGTACACCTTACCCCAGATTGAATGGAACTCATTCCTATGAGTACTTGAATATCCAGTTTATAACTTTATCTCTAGATATTAAGCATAACATGGGATTAAGAGTTGGGAAATAACTGTTTAGATCCACAAGCTGAATAAATGCCCTAGGGAAGGCCAATGCTAAAATAATGCCAGTCTCCACCAACGAGAAAGGCTTTCATTACTTCTGTGACTTGTGACAGGAGATGCATTACAGTGGAGGGCTCTTTCTGGAAGAGCCAATCATGTGAAGGTGTTCTGCACAGGAAGCATAGCTAAAGTTTTTCCAAAGTTCTTTTTTTACATTACATCATTCCTTTATTTTACAATGCATACAATTGAAACTTCAAAACTACATAACTGTACTTTCCAGCTCTGCATGTGTCAAATATGAAGCCCATTCAACATTTCATCCCAAAGATCTAAGCCAATATGTCATTGACATTTTTGTTGGATTTCTCTATGGCAAACCAGTTAAGGGTTAAGCACCAATGATCATATCTACATGGTCTAACAGCAAAGTGCAAATGTTTCTGTTTTGGGCTCTAGAGCAACTCTCCCTCCCCCAACTACCCTGGTGGGTAAAAGGAACCAAATCAAATTTAAAAAAGAAACACTTAGAACTTTATTGCTTCTTGAAGCTTCCCAATAGTTTTATTATGTTGTTTGGAAGAAAAACCACAAGGTCCACTAGAGAGCTTAATACCATAGCTCATGGGTGATTTTATCAACTTGAGTTGAACAAGAAGAAAGACAAAGTCCACTTGGGAGCACAGTCACTGACAAGACAGTCATCACAAACGTAATCTCCACAGCCCTCATAAGCCAAGCATTTCCCATCCTGACATTTTTTTACACTGAATCCAATCTTCAGTTATTGATTCTATTTCTTGTTTGCTGCAAAAGAGGAATTGTGGTTATTTTTGCCTGGTTCCTTTTGCCTAACACTGACCTTCAACATACATGACCTCTGGTGGGGATTTCAAGAACCAACTCAATCAAAATTTAACCCCCTGCATATACAAATGGTCATTTGACACACAATGCCAAAGCAGAATATCAAATCTCCATTACATGCACTTTATTTTGACATTTCTGTAAAGGCTTAACTTGTAAGGAAATGTTTGTAAATCATATCATTGCTCCTCAATGTCTCCCTCCCCTATGTCTTCAAATTGTATGCTATGCAATTGGCATGCAAAGTGATGACATATCGCACAATAGCAAGCAACACTCCCCTCTTGATTCTGAACTAGGAATTAATTGGCCTGGTTCTTTTTGCCTGCCCTTAACCTATGTTATCTTGCAGAAAGTGAAAATCTTTTGAGATTAACTGGGACAGTGGAAGACTGCAGCAATTTCTGAGATATCTTTCATCTGGAACCAGTTTATCTCAAATTTTTGAGCTTGACATTCATGCTTTTTTCTCTTTAGCTCCATATCTTCCTCACTTGCAGAATCCCTCTTTTTCAGCAATTTCTTAACCATTACCATTCTTTGTTGTTGTCTTTCTATTATCTTTCTTGTTGTATTTTGACTGTCATAGCATTGGACATGCACTTATTCCACATGGGAGTTAATAGAAAACCATTACCATTAAAACCTACCCATAACGTTGTCCCAGCTTTGCTTATCTCTGTGGTCCTAGTTCTACCTTAGCATAGATGACAGCCAAAATCCAGCTTAGCCAAGCAATGTTATCAGCATGTCCACAATACTTTCAATGTGTATCCAAAGGTTCATCAAAGGAAACTCATCTGTTTATTATAGTATTTTTGCTGTGAGACAATGAAACTTGAAGCCCTCTTTTTTGGTAATAGGAATCTGGGATGTCTTCTCATCCAGAGGAACTTCAGAAAGGGTTCATCTGTTCAGACCACACCTGATGGCCATAAACTGTCTCTCTTTCCAACCATATTTCACTCATCATCTCCTCACCACCTCATGTGAAGGGAATGTCCGTTCAGCAGACCTCCAAAGCCTGGTGTTTGAAGAGGTTTGTTAATACTCATCTTTAGTTTCCTTGATTGCTTGTTATCCTACTTATCAAAATGCTTGTTGTGGAATAGCCATTCTCAGCTTGCCAATGATGTGCCACATCGCTCATTGCAGAATATGAGTATGAACAATCAAAGGATAAGATGGGATTATCCCCATTTAAGGTCATTCTGATACTTGGAACATTTCCTTAGAAAAGTATATTCCCAGCTCTGGGTCATGATTAATGGGATTTGTTTCCTCTTCCTAGGTGTATCATGATCCTGATGACCTGAAGCTTACATGCCACACCTTCCAGTCTCCTCATACCATTCTCATCGGAAGAGGTTTATTACAGTTGAAAAATGAACTTGATGAATTAAAGAAAGAGAACTGTAAAGGGTTCAGGGCATATGAAACTTTCAGGTGATGGGAGTGTGACATTGGTAGACCTACGAGGGCACCAAAAGCAAAAAGGGTATAATGCCATGTATCCATGTCATTCCTCTAAGAAAGTCAAATCACTTTGCTTCCATCCTTTGAAGAAGGAGCTTCTGCTAACTGCTTGTTTTGGGTGAGTCTGAGATTTAGTTCCTTGAAAGAGTTGACTTTTGATTAACTTCATGACAAGTCTCTCATGATTGCATCTTTAGTGAGGTGTGTTTGTGGGACATTCGAGGGAAAATGACTCGGCCAATTACGACATTACCCCATTCGAGCAATGTTCCATCTGCTCTCTTCTCTCCTCTCACAGGCAGACGAATTGCCACCACTTGCACGGATGATCAGTATGTTGGTCTATTTCATTAAGCTACCTCTCTTAACTCCACTTGGAGGGCTGTATATTAAGAGGGAACTAGTACCATGTTTCTCATTTCAGTCTTCGATTATATGAGAGTGAGGATCCCAGCAAGATCAACCTTTTAAGAAGCTGGTATCATAATGCAGGCGGATCCCTTCCATTCAAGCTGAAATGGCATCCACAGAGAGATGATGTTTTTTTCTCATCTTCCAAGCTCATCCCCCATCGGGTGCGTTGTTTTAACCCTTCAAGCACCGAGTTTTGACCTGATCTTATCAGTTATGAACATACAGTATATGTGAAAACTGCTTAATGGGTAATAACTCCTACTCATCCTGCTTTTTGGCTTAGATCATGTAATTGTCATCTCCCTTAAAACAGATTGAGGCATGGAATTCAGAGGGGATGCTCCTCTCTAATTTGACATCAGAGGATCACCTGCAGTCCTTTTGCTCCGTTGTGTGTCATCATGAGCACATGAGCATTGTGGCCGGTGGCAATCGCTCTGGTCGTGTTTACCTCTTCCATAAAGGTCTCAAGCCTGTTTCCTAAGTCAATGAAAATGCTAATATATAATGCAGAAGAAAATGTGAAAATAAAACAAAGCTTTCTTTCAGGGGACATTCTTTTTTTTTTTTCATTTATAATTATCCAAGACATGGATTTATATTATTTCACTAGGTATAGGGTGATAGAAGGCCAAAGAAATAGGACCAATGCAGGAAATTTGAGCATTCTGGAATGTGACAGTTAAAAAGCTGAAGAAAAGGGAACTTGAAATAATTAAGAGGGCTAAAGTCACATTTGACTCTGGATCAATCAGGAAGATGAGGGAAAATGAAAAACTGAATCAATACCTCTAGTACTGCTCTCTTTCTCCTTCTAGTACCGCTCTTCCTGCCAAAAGTATTCACTTTATGCAAAGGGCAAACAAATCTTGACGTATTCCTTGGCATTGCAAATCTATCATGTGGGCCAGGAGAACATTGTTATTGCACTGAATGTCCTGGTTAGCACAAAGAAAGCAGGGCTCTAATGTAGATATGAAGATATGAAACTGATCAATCATGGGCAGAAGAAAGGAAGAAAAAAAACCCAAAGTAAAATCATTCTCACATGCACCAAATATAAGGAATGTTCCCGAAGGATGAATGAGTAAATATAACTCAATGACAGGATACCAAGGGGTCTAAAATTCATAACAGACAGGAGAGGAAAAAAAAGAATAGAAGAGTGAAGGCTATGGTATCACATGTCTGATGGGAGGAGGCATGCCAAGATGCATGAGGGGAAAAAAAACCAGGAAGGAAATACCCTGTACAGGAAAACAATATGATGACCTAAGGAAATTGAAAGACAACCACTAAGCAGATCTTTCTCATCTGAGATAGAGATTCTTGGGGTGCAATGGATGGGTTCAGAGTCAGATCTCATCAGAAGAGTGAAGTTGGCTGGAAAGAGGCCTTTCTTGCTAGTTGCTTCTTTCACACCCATCAGCCAGCCTTCCTCCTACTACAGGAGAGTATTTGAGATTATGTAAATACAGAAATGGAAATGTCATGTAAATAATACGTTAATACAAATTCACTGAAAATATATTTTGCAAACTTAAGCACAAAACACCCTCCTTTGTGCATTATTTAATTTAAAAAATACAAGAACTTCAAAATGATCAGCCATGTATGCTGGAGATGACAATCTCCTCCAATGGCTTCCATACCTGGGAACCTTACAATTTTCAAGTAGCTACTGGGTTTCCCATCATATTTTGGTCTTTCCATCTTCTGGCAATAATCCCATCAAAAATTGTCCCTCTGTTGCATTTCCCCCTTATTCTACAGGTCTTATGGGTGATGGTTGAATCTATAGATTAACAAACTCTAATGTCAATTTGAAAGTACTAAAAGGATGACTTTGTTAATTCATAATTCCAATATTTTATATTTCATGGAAGAAGGGTCAGGCTGCCTTAAAATCAATAATGAAGTTTTTCTTGCTAAGATGCCCCCAATTCGCAGGACCTTGACATTAGCAGCAACAGAATAATTCCACTTTAATTAAATAATTATGCAAAACTTGAGGAAATTCTGCATGGGAAAAATATTACAGGCCTGTTATGTATTTTCAGCAGCATTTCATAATATTTTAAAAGGCTTTCTGATGTTTAATTGCTCATCTAGCCCAGTATGGCAACAAAACTTTGCAAAGTCTTTACTTTTGGCTTTTTTAATTTTGCAAGTTTCTATTCACAATCACGTGTGCAGTTTATGAACAAAGTTTCGTTGCAAATTAATTTTTTGATTCTCCTTGCCTCACAAAATACACAGAATCGAAACAGGCTTAACAATTTGTCTTTGCACTGTATTATGGCATTTGGCTCCCCTTGGCACAAGTGACAGCCTGATTTGCCATGTTGGCAAATCCACATCGCAAGTAGCACACCCACAGTGATTCAATTCAGCGATTCAGTGTTGACAACATTGGTCTCTCAACGATTACAACACATCAAAATTTCGTTTTCGTCTTCCTTAATCCGTTTTGTCCAAAACAAACTTTTTCGTGCAAAATCCTCCATTTTCCGACTTCCGAAATGAGTTGGACTCGGATCATGACACGAAACATGGAAGTACCACCACTTATAGCAAGCTTTGGGGCAATTCGAATATGGAGGAAGGGCCGTATCTAGGATTTCATTTCGGGGGGGGATGAGGTCTGGCCTACGCGCTGTGGCTATTTTTTATATGCTTGTCATTGTAAGTCTTTTTGGCATATCTGGATTTTCCTGTAAGTTGCAGTGCTTAATTAGTCATAAGCTATTAAAGATAGAAAAGACCAAGTACTGCACCGTTTACACCGACGAACAGCGGTATGGCAAAAAATTTAAGGGGGGGGGGTTTGAACCCCATGAATCCAACCCCCTCCTCCCACCCCCCTAAATACGGCCTTGTAAGGAGCTACCAACACGCTTCGATGTACGGCGGGTACATCCTGGTTGCGGTGGTGCAGATCACGATTGAGAGGGGATGGCCCTTCCTGCCCCAATCGGACTACGCGGCCATGTTGGTGGGAGTCGCTGGGGAGTGGTTCCTCTTCTCGTGGCATTTCGACCGAGGTCCACTGGAGAGCATGGTGGGGTTGGGAATCTCTGGCTGGGTGATGGTGAGTGATGTTCGTCGGTGAAGATTGGGGGGGGGGGGGGGAAGGTTTGAGGATTTCTTGCCGATTGGTTTTCTCGCTCTTTGCAGCTGAGGTTGCGAATATGACCGAGGTTGAGGAGCGGTTTCCGTTGCGTCTAGAGTTCCGATTCCTTATTCTGATTCTTTTTGGCTTTCACTGAGGGTCTCGCCCAATGGTCCAGTTCAGAAGAAAGAGATTAATCCAGGTTACCCCGAGTATCATCAGATGGACGTAAACGTGACGCATAACAATGCAACAAAACATCGAATGGAATGGTATTTCTCTTTGTCGCCTAAAATATAAAAATTCAACATTCTTTCCATTCTCCTCGCTGGGGACATAAAATCGAGGCAAGATGTCCCGACAATCAGCAATTTTCCAAACTTTTCCAGTTGACTTTTTCTTGCAACCTGCGAAGAGTAATCAGTACCGCTATAGATTTTATCATTGATATTCCATGATAAGTCGGACATTTGCAATGGACAGTTCCTTTTAAAACAAAGGGAAATTCAGAATTTTATTGCATCTTAAATATCCTAAATCACCAAAAATGCCAAATAAAAGTAAAAATTGAAGAAACCGCGAGGAATGATCGCGATTTCATTCTTTGGAGGGCGGAGGTTCCTGTATGTAACCATCCGTGCATATAGGTTATCTGCACTAACCACTATCGCACATCGAATGAGTTGTTGAAAATAATGTGAACAAATTTTTAAATATAAATGTTTGCTTTTTCTTGGTCTAACATCCTCACTTCAAGCATAAATTCAACAAGTTTTCCATTTTAAAAGAGTATGTTTATATCCTTCAAAGCGTTAATGGTCAAAGGAAACCATCTCAATGGAACATTCCAACCCCAACACGAACTTTCTTCAATTTTTTGGCATAAGTTTACCCGGATATCCTGTAAAACTCTTTTTCCTCCGAGCTCCGCGAATGCGCGAAGCTGGTCCTGCAAGCGAAATTCCTCTCCCACCTGCTGGCGCAGTTCCGCCGCGGTGCTCCGTGGCTACTGCTTTCTCCTGCAGGCGACCTGGTCCTTCCAGCCCGGCTGGATCGTCCTTCCGGCAGACGACGTGGGAGAGCGAGAGCCACGGGCACGTCGTCACCGTCGGCTTCGTCTTCACCGACTTCGTCGTCGCCTGGGTTCAGCCGAGATGGTACGGGAGGCTTGAAGGCGGCTTCCCGGTCGACGGAAATACCACGATCGTCAACGTGAGTTCATCGTCTCCTTCGCGAAAAAGATAATTTTTTCATTTCGTTCCTCTCGAGTGGAGAGAAGGAAAGAAGTTGACTGCACTTTCTCCAACATCAACTTTGTAGTTGGTGTTCCCGTTTGGTCGTAAAATTGTTTGCTGGATGACACCCCCAATGGTATTTGATATCGTTTTTCCTGGATCCAGGTTGGATCATTATTTAGGATGCCTTGAATCTACTGGATTGTTAAATGATAAAAAAAAATCGAAATTCACGGAAACTTCTAAAATCGTATAGACAAAAGGGGAATTTAAAAAAAAAATTAAGCTTCTTGCTTTAAGATATATGTGACTTTCGCCGGACTCTCTGAATAAACCGTGGACATACCAAGCACCATTAAAATAGCCCAACTTATAGGGCAGTTATAATTTAACTACGAGGGTGGTTCCAAAAATGTTTGACCAAATAGCAGAAAGCAACAATATATTTATACTTTTTCCCACATAATCACTGCCGATATCGATGCACTTTTGCCAGCGTTTCTGCAGTGCACGGAATCCCTGCAAATTTAAGTGTTGTGATCTGTCACCAAGTTGATCATCCCCGCAGAAATTGATGATGCCACCTGCCCACTGTGCGCCGGGAAGGGGCCTCGTCAGGGTCAAATTTTATCACCAGCGTGTTCTTGGCTGCAAAAATTGCAAGGTGTTGTACTTAAATGTTATGGGGAACGAGTCAAAATGTGTTACGTCTTTTGGAAGGTTCCAGAAAGTTTATTAATGCAAGCCAACAAAATGTATTTTCCTAAACCATTTCTTTCGCCCTTTTTGGTCAAACATTATCAAACACTCCTCGTAATTTGCACCGTAAGGCTTCGTACAATCGGTCTGAAGTAGAGGTTGATTTCGAGACGCAACCGCTGATGCAGAAGTGACGCCAAGAATACGTCTTTGGCATTCACGGTTTCTGCTGCTTCTTTCGATTTCCTGGGCTTCGCTGTTGTTAAACGCTTTGCGAGAGTGGACTCCGTGGTTGGCGTTCGTAGCGCGGGTGTTTCGCGGTCCGACTCGTCCTTACTCGTTGCAAGTTCATGAATTTCAAGCTTAATTGTTTGGAATTTGGATTTAATAAGTTTAAAAGGAGTAAGGGGAACTCCGTAAATCTTGCGCTGCCCAATCGGAAGTTTTCATCGAAGTCGAGAAAGACGAGGGGGGCATTCATTGCAGGGGGCTTCCCCTTGAGGACTTTCCAGTGACGTAAATCGGTCGTCATTCCAGCAAGGAGTTAAGAGCAATGAAAGGGGGAAGCCAGAGCGGCAGCCGGCCAACAAGCGTGACAGACCACTCGTGTTTTTTTTTGGTCGAACAGTTGGTGACAGCGTTCGGCAAACTGTGGGTCGCGCAAGTCACAACCCCCAAGGGGCATGAGAACTGAGAAATTATACTATAAAAATACTCGGCAGGAGTCAATCGTTCCTCGTAGGCGTGCAAGACTAAAAAAAAAAAGACACAATCGGGATCTGCTATCATCACAAATGCATTTCATATTACAATAATCATCTTCTATATGCTCTCCTTCGGCATCCGGGAGGAGAGAATACCCTTCTAAAAGATGAACAAAATTCATCGTCATTCAAACAACATCCTCCCTAAGTCAAACGCACCCGAACAATCACACGACTTGCTTAGCTGCCAATTCATGCAATGCAGTGCCATGCAAATATCGTCGAAATGCTTGCAATAACAACTCAAGAAATATAAAATTCCAGCAAGACGGATCACCAAGAGGACGAAAAACAACAACGATTTAATTCAACTGAAATGGATCAGAGGGGAGATTTAAAAAAAAAAAGGGGGTTCAACGGTTCAATCGAGTTTGAACACCTCTGAAAATAAAGGGGGAAAAAATGGCTTTGTACTCTGCTTCGCTTCTGAGGCTTCTCACGATTGCATGTACTGACAGTCCAGTACCACAACTTTCTTTTGTACTGGGCAGACTTTCGTGCCCCGATCCTCCGACTCCGGTGAAAGACGAGGCAAGGCGACCCGGGGTCGGGGTCGCACCGAGCCGAGACTAGACGGCCGTGGCCGAGGGGAGTCAGGAGGGGACGAGGAAGTTGGGTCGCTTGCGGACGCGCTTGCGGTCCAGCAGGTAGCTGATGTCCACGGGGTCCTTCATCGGCATGGAGGCGAGGAGGCGGTTGAGGATCACGTCCAGCGGGACCCGCTTCATCCGCTTCTGCCGGGGAGAAGGGAGACGGTGGTGCGAAGGGAGACGGGAGGGGTTTCGCAGAAAACGCTCGTAACTCACCCTCGAATAGAGAGCCAAGGGGAGGGAGGATTTCTCTTCCTCCTTCTTGGATCCCTTCCCCGATTTCTTCTTCCCCGGACCCTCGTTTCCACCACCCTGCTTCTTTGTGAATTCCACTGGGATTTTGTGCGGCTGTGGAAAGGAGCGCATCGAGCCGGGTTATTCCTACTGCGATGTCAGAGAGGTGAACGGAACGTGAAAAAACCCTCGACTGGGGAACACACCTCAAAGTTCCTCTGCAGTTTCAGCGGGGTTTCGAATCGTTCGAAGGCAAACGGCTTCATGCAGAGAGGGAATTTTGGCTTGTTGAGTTTGGAGAACATGCGAGCGGCTTTGTCGACCCGGAACTCGCACACGTAGACGTGCTCCTCGCGACACGGGATCGGCCGACCGCGTGCAAAAGTCTTCACGTCCAGGACCCAGCACTGCCCGACCAGGAGACGAATGGGGATCACCTCGTACAAGGGAACCCTCATCACCTCGTTCACGTAGAACTTGCGAGTCGGCTCGTGGAACGTCTCGTGGGGCCGGAGATAGTGATGACCGAATGCCATCCGCTCTCCGCTGCACGAGATCCAATCCGTGTCTCGTTCTCGTACGAGGATGAATCTCGGATTTGAGGAAGGAGAACGTACCTCTGGGTCTTCCAAAGCTTCTCGATGCAGAAGATGTCGTGGTTCTCTGCCTCGAAGCCACCTTGGCTGTAGGTATTTCGTGCGTGTTCGATGGAGGAATCCAGTCGATCGGCCGGGACGTCACGCATCACGTACATGAATTCGGCTGCGGGGAGAATACCACTCGAATTCGACCTCATTTTCAAACACGTTAAACCGTAGCATGATCTTAGAGCCCTGCAAATCCACATCTGCCGTCACAAACGCATGCATACAAATTTTACCACGATCCTAAAAACAACAAAGGACCAAGCGCAAGACTGACTCTGCCGGACTTGAAGTCCATCGTCTCGAAGCAGCGTGAGGTAGAAGGTGACCATTTCCCCACTCGTCGGTGTCGGCGCCAGGGCGACCGGTCGCACCGGGACCTCCAAGTCGACCGCCCGCCCATCGCACTTCTCACAGACGTAATGCTCCGCCGATCCTTCCGCAACGTCCATGCAATCACAGTGCTGCCACACGACACAGCGCTCACACTGCACCATCAGTCCCTCCTCTCGCACCAGGTTGCATATGCAACGCACCGTGTCCTCTTCCCCTGCATCGATGCACAACGTATCATTAATCGCTGTTCGTGGCAGGCTCAGACTTTAGTCAATGGAAATGCCGATAAGGCTGCACGATGAAACAGTCTGCGATCGAGCCTGCAGTCGCACGATTCCCAAGTTACACCCATGAAATCCATGCGCTCAGAAAAATGGGGCACTGAAAATAATCTGACAATCTATTTCCAGCTCGTGGACAACTTCACTTGCAGAAATTTGTGATTCAATCACGATCTAAACATCCCCATATTTTCAACTTCCTCTACTTCCACCTCGAGTGACAGCTAATACAAATCTTCCAACTATCTTGACTGTTAGGGAGTCCCAGTAACGTCACGGCACAGCCAACACTAAATTCTTCAACTCCTTTCACCCCTTCCCACCTCTTCAAGTCTTCCTCTCTCTGATAACCTCAACAACGCTGCCCAACGCCCACCTTCCCACCCCCACCTCAAGCCCCGAGTACGAAACAGAAGAAAAACAACACACCAGTGGTGCTCTTCGGCTGCGGCTTCTGCACCTGGAAGCACGCCGGAACGAACCCGAGGACGTCCTGGATCGGGCTCACCATCTCCTGCTTCGCTTCGTTGTAAATGCACCTCAATCGCCTCACCGCCGTCCCGATTTCCGAAGACGACCCGTAATGTCTCTGCCAAATCGAAATACTTCAGTCTGATTTGTGATCCGTACCATCTCGTATTCCATTCATTACACGAAGATCTCGTTCAAATGACCAAACAGAAACGGCAACCTTCCCAGCAGGACGAATCCACAAAAAACAAAGAGAGACACACCTGAAAAGTCCAGAAGAGCTTCTGAAAGTCCTGATCGAACTCCTCGGGAGTCTTGTAATGCCCCGTCACGATATTCTTCTCGATGGTGGGAAGATCCACCAGGTCCCCCCCGGCCACATTCTGATAGAACTCAGGATGCTTCTTGCGAGACGGGAAGCTGAGAACCTCCCCCGGCACACTCTTCCCATTCTCTCCCACTACGAAAAAAAAAAAAATTTTTTTTGACCCCGCCCCCTGCGAGGGAGAACCTCCACTCCCTTACCTTTGGCACGTATCACAGTGGAAAATATCTCCCGGAAGACCTGGGCGAGGCGGGCGGTCCGGGCGATCGTCGGATCGTCGTCTGCTTGTGCGAGACGACGCGTTCGCATCGACCGGGCCGTGTGCAATGCCGTGAAGTGCGTCAGGAACGCCTGCAAGAAAACGCAGTGAAATATGCATTTTCACGAGGTTAACATTTCTCGAGCATCTCTATCGAGTGCAAGACATTCAACTCAAAAAAAAAAAAACATAAAAGCATTTGCTGTATCATACACCCCTGAAACATCCCATGTACTTGTAAAACCATTGCTGCGATCATGATGCACACGTTCCATATGATTCTCATTTTCTCACAGGTACAACGACAGTCGAGAATATTCATTAGCGCCTCACTGACTTCATACCGATAATTTCAGGGATACTTCGCTAAGGACCGATAACAGCCCCCTCCATGCTTCCACGGATGACCTTGCCTGATCGACAGGAAAGGACACCCACTTGAATTGGAGAGGCATAGTTAGATCACACCGTAGACCATTACCGTCTGATACAGTCGACTCTCGTTATAACATAGTCGATGAAGCCGCCGGGATCATTTCGTTTTATTAGAATTTCGATACATCGTGTGAGGGTCACACACCTCCAATCAGAGAACTAAATCCATATCATGCCTGTATATTTCAGTATTCCATGCCCGTATCAACCCCTTAACCTATAGGGCGAAATACCACGCCACAATCTGTACCGAAGAATAGGAACGGGTGGTGGAAATGGCACAGTCAATGGAGCCCGACGGCTCTTGCGGGTTACACGCACGACAACCCCTCAGCCGCCCCATATCCGCCTGCGGGTCACGTGACCCCGCGGTCAACGCATCGACAGCTAGCGCCCTTCGCGTGCAAGAGCCTCCGCCGCGTACGCACTCCCAGAAGCCTCTTGAAACTCGCACGGGATGAACGGGCCAAACGAAAAGCTGCCGCGCACTCGTTCGCCCGTGTTCACGTCCCCCGCCACACGCACGTTCGCCCACATTCACGCCCCCCCCCCCCCCCCCCCCCCCCCGCCCCCCCCTCCCCCGCCACACGCACGTTCGCCCACATTCCCGCCCCCCCCCCCCATCACGCACATTCTACACGCGCCAAATCCTTCGTTCTCGAAGGTCGTGCAGCCGAAGACCGAGGTGACGGGCCGGATAGTGATAAGGACGGACGTGCACTTCCGTCAAGGAGAAAAACGATTTTTTTTTCCCCTCTCGACGTGGGAAAATTCAGTATATCCCGTGTACTTACCGTCGGGGACACTTCCTTCGTTCCATCTGAAATTTCTTTCAATCCGATTTCGTCACATCCGAATTGCTGAGCACGGGTGTCTACGGCCATTCGACCGGCCAACGTCAAGGACTTCCGCATAACCTTTTTTTTTTTATTTCCGTGTTCGTCACACCAAGAGTCCGCTGCAACCAACAACGGGCTTTCCATCCACGCCAGAGACTTTCCACTTTCACAAAGGGCATCCATCTTCAAAGCAGCAACTAGATTCATGCCAATCATTTTCCGATGGCCAGTATTCCCAGTCTACATCGATAATCATCAAACATTTTCCCGTACGGCCTTCCAATGCACGCATGCCCGTAAAAATTCTCCTCGGATCGGAAGAGTCAATGACATTAACAATATATACACAAATAATAAAATGTTTCACCTTGTGATCGACCCCCCCCCACTAATTCTGCCAAGTCTAAACAGAGAGGGATAGACAAAGCCTCACCTCTTCTTGGGACTTCTCCGGGGTAATTACACTAGAAGACAAATCAGCAGCTCCATTCCATCCAGGCTCTCCCTTGGTGGTATAACCCATGGTGAGCAGCTCTCGTATTCGACGAACCTACCCCACAAGAAAGTCCCATCACCCCGCGCACAAATCAACCACCGACTCCGAAACGACCACCAACGCCGCAAGAAAGAAACCCCCAGACAACCCCCAGACCCGCCCAGAATCCCCCAATCACCTTTTCCAAGTTCCGGCAGAGGAAGACCGCATGCTCCTGCACGTACGCCCTCTGCGCCGCCGTGAGCGCCTTCACGGCGATGAGATCCTGCGGACGAAGCGGCATCGGCGGCTCGCTCGGCGCCTTCGGCGGCTGCTCCTTCTTCTTCCTCTCCCTCGGCCCCTTCCCGTTCCCCCCGTTGGCCCCGCGCCCCCCGATCACCTCGCGGCAATTCTCGCTCCCGCACCTGCACACCTGACCCTCGGCCGCGTTGAAGAGCGAGAAGTTGTAGTCGTAGCCCAGCTCCTCGCCCGCCTTGATGTCTCGCTTGGCGAAGAGGGCCATGCGATACAGCCCGTTCACGAGCCACTTCTGCATCTCGCAGTTGGGGTCGCACGAGTGATTCACGAACCGACCTGAAGTACCGACATCAACTCGATAATTAACACCACAGCTCGACCAAAAACTCGAGCTTGATCAACATCTACACTATGAGCGTAAAAAGACATTCACGACCAATCTGAGATGGCATCCATTCGGGGAGAGCTAAAAAAGTATTGAATTTCCATTCAGGAAGTCTTTCCGGGGGACTTTCTGTATAAAGAATCTGAAGAACTATTTAAACTTAATTAGTCAAAACAATTGTTTTTGAAACCATAACTGAAATTACTCAAGCAACGAATCTACTGAATTGGGATTCCAAACAATAACTGACACTAATATTTGGCACCGTACAGGGTGATTCAAAAGTCCACATCCTCATAGGTAATTGGAAGTATTTATTTTTCCTTTTCCAGGTGATTGTTATTAATGACAATGGGTGACAGGATGCAGGGAAAGGTGGAACGAGTTTTTTTTTTCCCACGTTGCTGGTAGAAGTCAGAGGGAGTGGCGAGGAACTTCCGAAATCTGAACATTTCATTAAATAGTTCCAATTACCTACGAGCACGGACTCATGGAACACCCTGTACAACACGGTACATTCAACCGGATGACGCAAAACACGCCTCGGACATAATTTATTTTCCCCTACAGTGGCGCATCTCTCCCCGAGTCACAAGGGTGTGGATCGTCACCAGAATACCAAAATATCCGCATCACCGAGTAAGGTGAGAGAATTGAAGCAGAAAGCACTGGAAGCGACCAAGACAAAAAGAGATTCACCCACCTTCCCCCCCCATGCGGTGCCCATCGATGACCAACCCCGCATCAAGGTAAAGGCAGTAATGATGGGTATCGTCGAGGTATCGGTCCTGCATGCGATTACGAAACTCCTTCTCGCTCACCACTTCACCCAGGTACTCCAGGATGAACTCCCCGGCCGGAATCACTTCCTTCGTCGAGATCCCCCATCCCTACGACGCCCAACCAAAAGCACGGATGAATCCCGCGTTCGAACGGGACCGTCCCGCGAAACCTCCGCGAGACCCACCTTGTCGGGCGTCATGAACCGCGTGAGACCGGGGGCCCACTGGTGACGCTGGATGCGCTGGTTCCCGCAGTCGCTCCCGCAGGGGCACAGCTGAGGACTGCATTCCGCCAGGATCATGCGATTCAGGCATTCCTCCCCGCACGCCTTCTCCCCCTTCCTGGGCGGTTTGCAGCTGCAGGCCTGCATCTCCTGCTGCACCGGCTTCACGTCGTAATAGAAATCTGGAACCACGAGACGCATCGCATTGCAAGGACGCACGACGGGAGCGCGTGCTCGTCGGGATCGACCGCGCACCGGAGAACATACTGGTACGAAGTTTTCGGTAGTTCCACGAGGGGACAGAAGACACGGGCTGAGGGAGCTTGTTGTTGGAATGGAGCCACCACATGTCGTACGGCAGCCGGAAGTCCATCCGCCTCTGTCGCACCCAACGGGAACAGTAGCACGGACCCGGGAAGGACAGATGCCCCTCTCCCTCCTCCACGACTTTCTCCTTCTCGTCTCTTCCTTCTTCTCTGCGATCTTTGGCCCTGTCGTTCCTGAAACGGCAATCACTCGCATCGAGCACCTACTCGACCGTCGTCGGAAACCTCATCCACCCGCAAGCCAGCGAGAGCAGAGACCCCCAGAAACCACCTTCTACCACCACCACCCCCCCAGACAAGAACCCCGACTCACTGATCCCCCTTGAAGTCATCCGAGAAGAGCCCCGCCCCGAGATACCGCTTCCGCGGCAGCCTCGAACTCAGCCGCACCACCCTCCTCTGCACCGGAGAGTGCACCGTCAACTCCCGACTGTCCGTCGACCCTTCCTCCTCCTCCTCCTCCTCGTCCCCGCACGACTCCAGCACCAACGGACACGTGAACCGCAACTCCCCCCTGTGGGACGAACGACCGAACCTGGAACCGACTCTGTGGCAAAACCACCGAAACGCACCCGGCACGTCACGCACGTCTCCCCGTGCCGGCGGCAACGTTTCACCGAGCACGATTCTCAGAAGAGATCACTAAATGCGAGAAGCCTTCGGAATAAAATCCACTCGATGGAAAGGAAAACGGGAAACAAGTCCATCCTAAAGGTTCGAAGAGATTTCAAGTCTGAAGTGCTTAGTCTCATTAAGAACTACATGCAGTTGATGAAACTCGTGTTCTCCAAAACGATGAAAAAGCTCAAGACTTCTCTTTTTTTTTTCAAAGTTTAACTAAGCTCCAACATCTCACCCCTTGAAAGGCATGGGCAGGGTCACGAATCTTTCTTGGGACATTTAAAAAACCTTTTTTTTTTTTCTTTTAAATACGAAGGAACACCTGCCAGAAATGCAAATCTACGGGCAATTTCAATTGCAACACACCGAGAAAGGAACCGGATGTCGCGACGCATGCATCACACAGGAGCTCGGCCCACGCACCACAACAAAATAAAAACCACCAGAGCCTCTTGGACAGGGATCCCCACACACAGTCCCATCTACGGCCTTAAGAGGCAGCTCACTGGTTGCTCCCGACTGGAACGACCGCCCCCCAAGGTGCACCCACCCACCCCACACGTGACACCACGGCGAGTCAACTCCTGCAACTCCACATACACAACCCCCAGAAAGCAGGCGTGCGAGTCAGAGGCGAAAGACCCCACCCCCACACCTCTCCGGTTCGACGTCAGACCGTTCGCGCTCCTTTCGCGCTCCTTTCGTGCTCCTTTCGTGTTTCACATCCCATCAGTGAGTTCGACCCACCGATCAGGGTCGATCCATGGTTCGGGGCGAAATCTTTCTGGCACGCGACCGATCGGGATGCAAGATCTCGTCCTCGCATCCCAACGAGATGGTCGCTGCCGCCGAATGTTTTTAACATTTCGCACGCTCGACGAAGTCCTTTAAAGGTTCTCTCCCCTTTCACTATAATGGCCAATAATGGCAGACGCAAGGTGCACGGAATTCGAGATGCGAAGTCGACTTCCCCTCTTTCATTAGTGCAAGAAAGGTAAAATTCTCGAGATTAGGGCTGACCAAAAGTCGGCCACTGGAGACATCTTACGAGCAATTCTCGGCAGTCAACCGCGAAAATCATCGATCGCAGGTAAAAAAAAAAAATAATAAATTAAAATTAAAATTAAAATTTAAAAAGCGTCTCTCACCTGTCAGAATCGTCGCTGTCGCTGTCGAGAACTTTGTACCGCTTCTGCGGGCTCCTGCCCTCGGTCTCCAGCAGCCGCTTCCTGGCCTCGCGCCGCGGCAGCGACTTCTTCTGGACGAGAACCTTGTTCTTCCGCATGATCATCTGCTTCCGGGAGGAAAAGGGGTGTCGGCGGCGGTGGCGATGCCTCTTCCTCGCCTTCTGCGAGATCGCGAAGGTCGGCAGGTCGTCGTCGGCCAGATACTTCTCGAGGGCGATGAGCCGCTTCTTCTTCCTCGACGACGGGAAACCCGTCCGATTGAACCTGCGCCGCTTCCGCGGCTTCTTCGCCTCCTCGTGACTAGTCTCCGGCTCCAGGACCGGCATCTGCATCGGGACCTTTTTCGGGTCCAGGGCGAGTTCTTTCCCGACCTTGCGCTTCAGGACCGGGGGCTCGCTCGCGTCGCACAGGCGACGACCCCCGTCGGCCTGGCCCGGGTGCTTATCACCGCGCGCTTCGTCGCCGGGCCTCTCGCCGGACGTGGATTCCTGCACCGCGTGCAGCTTGTGTCGCTTCTTCGGCGTGAGCCTGTGGTGCGTCTCCGGCGCGTCCGTCCGCTCGAGGCACGGCAGCGCCTCCACCTCCTCCGCCTCCCCCTTCGCCTTCCCCTTCCCGGGCTTCGCCTCGACCTCCTCCGCCTCCCCCTTCGCCTTGCCCTTCCCGGGCTTCGCCTCCGCCTTCCCCCGCGCCTCGCTCTTCGCCCTCGCCTCCTTCTCCGCCGGGTGCGACGTCGGCGGCGGCGCGTCCTGGCTCGGGCTGAGCGGCACCGTGTTCATGTGCCGGTGCCTCTTCTTCAGGGGCAGCCTCTGCTCGCACGTCTCCTGCGCAGATAACGGAACCGACGTTAACGCAAGAGGCGTGAACGAATGCGGAAAAACTCCGCACGGTAAATGACGTCCGACCAAACATTTCTACGGTAAAAGGCATTCATGAATGACTTGCATCATTACCGCATTAGCAGACAGACATTTGTAGCAACTATTATGCTGCTCAACATCTAAAGACAATCAGGATAGTGAGATTTTACAAAACATTAGAAGATTGAAAGAGCCGCATGTATTCCGCAAACAAGCGAGGACGGGGTGACGATAACGCCCTATAAAATAAATAAAAGAGAATAAAAGAATAAAAGAGCACCGCACACGCTACGATGAGCAAAAACACTCCCGGAACATTATCCCGTAGTACTAACGTCAGAGCACCGCAAGATGTACCGCGATGGATTTGCACGAGAGCGGAATCAGGGCCACGAGATGAACGAGATCTCCCTGACGCATCGACTCCAGGGGCAACCCGGAAAAAGAAATCGCCGATAACTTCTCCCAGATAACGCAAAATACGCGGAAGTCCTTCACGGACGAGGATGATAAAAATAAATAAATAAATAAATAAATAAATAAATAAATAAATAAATAAACGGATACCTCGGAGCCGGTGGGCTTCCGGCTGCGACCCCTCTTCCCGCCCTTCTCCCGGTGGTCCGCGTCCGGCCAGAGGGAGTCGGCCCCGCGGGGCGGCGCGTCGGCGGGGACCTTCCCCCGGTCGTGCGAGATCCGTCCGTTGTCCCACTTCCAGCCTTTCTCTCCTTTCTCCGCTCCCCTGCGGACCACAGAGAATTTCAAGTCTTCGGGCGAGTCTGACCACGTCGGCGATCGTCTAAATGAAAAAAAAAGTCGAGTGGGAAGTCAATCCGCGAGCATCAACATCGCACATTCAAACTCGCGATCGAGGAGGCGACACACACGCAAGCCGAGGACCACCTCCCAGACGAGAAACACCTCCCAGACGAGAAACACCTCCCAGACGAAAAACAGCCAAAACCCGCCTCACCTCGCCCTATCGTCCTTCGCAGCCGCCCGCGACTTCTCGCTCTGCTTCCTCTTCTTGAGCATCTTGAGCCCGCAGAAGATGGTCGGGAGGAGGACCTCCCCCGCCTTCGGCACCGGGACGACGGAGCACTTCGAGATCCAGATCCGGGCCAGGTCGTCGGCCACGATGTCCACGTGGGAGATCAACACGGGGTCGTGCACGTTCCGGTGCTTCGTCCGCCACGACTGGTGGTGGCGCCTGTGCGGGTGCCCGTGCGGGTGCTTGCGCGGGCGGTCGCGGCGGGACGCGTCCGCGTCTTCGCCCAGGTCCCTCGAGTCCGACACGGTCGTCGCACTGCTTCCGGGGTCGAGGTCGTTCGCGGACGACGTCGACCGACCGGGCCTGTCCTTCGCGTCCGACAGGGACTTCTGGATGTCCTGGAAGCACGGCTGCGGGCAGGGCGACAGTTTCGCCCGGATCTCCGGCAGGAGCAACAGCGCATCGTCCGACTGCGCGATCGGGATCCGGCCCTTGATGGCCAGCTCGCTCTCGGGCCGGTTCAAGAGATTCTCGCTCTCCAAGATCTTCCTCTCCTTCAGCCGGCAGTTGAACTCGACCACGCGGTCCAGATCCGGCTGCAGCGCGAATCCGGAGTCGGACGACGGGGCTCCCCGGCTCCTCCGCCGCCGTCTTCGCTTCCGCTCGGTCCGGTGCTTCCTCTCGCCCCGGGCCTCGTGCGCCTCCCGCTTCGCCGAGTCCCCGAGCCGGACGTTCTTCCTCGCCGGATCTTCCTTCCTCGCCGGATCTTCCTTCCTCACCGGATCTTCCTTCCTCGCCGGATCTTCCTTCTTCACCGGATCTTCCTTCCTCGCCGACTGCGACGGCCGCACCGGCGACTGCGTCCGCCTCGACTTCCGCGTCGGCGCGCCGGACGACCTCCTCCGTCTCGACGCCGCCTTCCTCGACTGGGCCGGCGCCTGGTCGTCGCACGAGGAGTCCAGCTTCTGCAGGACCTCGGACACGAGCCGGCCCGAGTTCTCCTCGTCGGAGCTCTGCCCTTCGAGACTCTCGAACGTGACGCGCACTTCCTCCTTCTCCACCGTCGAGGAGAGGTCCGGCAGGATGGCGTTCAAGTCCTCTTGCCCGATTTCCTGCGTATAATGGGAAAAAATATAGGCATGACAAAAATAAATAATTAATTAATTACTTAAAAATAAAAAGCAAAAATAAAGCCACAGAAATTACTTCTTTTCTTTAGTATCCTTTGCATCTACAGGGTGGCCCAAATGTAACTTCACACTTTTAAGCGAAATTTTTGTTTGGATATTTATACTCTTTTTTTTTGCAATTTAAAACTTGGTATACATTGCTATATGTGTGAGGATATCACTGACCCCTTAAGATGTCACGCCTGAGTAAGCAGCAACAAATTTTTAGTTATTAATGTGTTGTATTTATATCAATTAACTTTTGGGCGAAATTACATTTGGACCACCCTGTAAATCTCAACATTTCCTCGAAAAAAAACAAAAAAAAAACAAGCCCAACCTGCAGGCTATCAGCTGACTTTGAGATGCCATCCTTGCCGATCTGCTCCAGCTCCTTCGCCAGGCGCGAGATCCGAAGCTCGTCGTCCTTGCGCGGCGCCTTCTCGGACGAGGTGGAGCCCGGGCTCTCTCCGTGCTTCCATGACTCGCGCCGCACCAGCTCCCTCACGCCCTGTCGATCGAGGGATCGGGAAGAAATTGCGTCAGGTGTCGTTAAACGGGGGTCGGTTCGTCGACCGGAAGGGGGGGCAGTGGCGGGCCTCTGTCGTCTGCGGGGCGACTTCGCGCGAACGACACGGCACGAACTCTAGTCTACGTAAGGGCGGGGGAAAGCGAGAAAAGACAAGGAATATAGGCCTAATCGACATCCTACCGGATGAAACCAGGGCTCGAGAAGCGCCAGCATGGGAGAGGGCGGACGTGCCAACGCGAGGACAAAGGAGGGAGAGCGCGGCGACGACTGTCGGTTGAGCACAGAGGCCCTCGCGTCACGCAGACCATGGCGATTATGCCGTACACGGGACAGGTGAGAGCGAGTGGGGGGGAAGGGGGGGAAAGGGGGGGAGGGAATGAATCACCCGCGTCCACCATACGTGGGACTTCCGCTTGCGAGATTGATCCATCCCACTCGAGGGAGGGCCGTCCGTCCCCCCCCCCCCCCCCCCCCCCCTCGGGCCCCCCCCCCCCCCCCCCCCAACAACCACAGGGACTCCAAACGAGACAGGAAGATGGCACGATTGCGTAACTAACGACACCTTTTTTCTTCCTCAACCCTATCTTCCTCGTTCGGCTCCGTTAGCGGTGAGCCTCGTCAAACGCGCAAGGACTTGAAGCCACGGTGGCCTTGTCTCAAATTAGAACGAAAAAAAATCGAATGATGAGTCACGACCGCGATCATGAACACGTTCGCCTTCCCAGAAATTGTCCGACGTTTACGGCCATGGTTTCTTTTTTTTTCCATCCCGAAGATTTTATCGTCCGGAAACGGCGAAGGGACATGGCATACTTACGGTATCCTTCCCAAGGTCAAGTCCACAGCGTAAACATTGAAAGAGAAACCCGTCCCAGCCATTCCTCATTAAGTAAGAACCGTCTCATCTTTCGCACTCCCCCTTAGACAAAAAGGGGTCAGGGGAAGGACCCACTGATCGAACACGACATGTTTCCAGCCTTTTTTTTTATTTATTAACAGGCTCCACCGTCACGCACACATCATGACCACCCCGACATCGCAATGCATACAGAAGCACCAAAAAAAAAAAAACTTTATGGCGCACAAACGATAACCGATCCCCCGGAAAAGCGCGCGAGGAAGAAAAAACGAATAGAGCAACCGAAGAAACTCCGGAAGCCAGTCCTTATTCCCCTTCCCTCCTCCCCCTCTCCATCCATATCCGGCCCGCTCCGTCCAACCCCACACACCCTTCCAACCCCACACACACCCTTCCAACCCCACACACACCGCCAGCCCCAACCACACACCCCTCTCTTTCTTCTTCACCGGTCATCCTTCCATATTTCGCCCGGGAATCGATGCACCACCGATTCAGGTCGATGCAACCGTGTTTTCAAAAACTGGCATCGTGACAGCCCCACTTGGCACCAGGTTACGGCCACACCTCCCAACCATTCATTCCTTCATCTTTCATTCAACCGTCGGTCAATATTTTGATTCGCCCCACAGTGAGAAAAATAAAAAAAAATAGCTCCCCGCGCTTCTTTTCATACCGTCGAGCTTCATTTTTCCGCCCCAGAAAAATTCCCGCACGAAAATGGAAATCCTGAATTCCATGCATAAATAACCCCCTTTCCCCCCCCCCCCCCAAAAAAAAAGAGGGAGAACCCAGCACAGCCACTGTTTACCTTTTTCATATCTGTAGAAGCATGCCAATGGACGATGAAACTAAAGGTAACATTTAAGTACCAATAAGTACCAATTAAATCTTGAATGTTTAATCAGTTACTCACTTACTTAGTGAAATTGCAATCAGCTCTCAATTTCCTGTTCTTGTATCAAATGATCCCATTCAATTGAAGTTAAAGCCAGTAGTCAATTAGCTAAATCAAAATTTAAAAATAATTTCAAGTGGAACTAATTTAGTTTGACTTTAAATGAAGTAATCAAATGAGGTCCCCAAGAAGAAACCACAATGCCCAAGGCTTCCATAAAGGATTTTCTTTTTATGAACATCAAGGTGAGATCTTTTTGCAATGGTTTAACAGGCCAAGCAAGAAATGACAAGTTTTGCAGGATTGGGCTCGTCATTAGTCCGGGAAACAGCGGAATTCTCTGCTTATGCCACTCTGGAGTACTTCTGGGGTTTCATTGGATTACTCATTTTTTAATCATTATTTTAAATACAAACTGGACATAAGGAATAAAATATATGGACGCTGGTACAAGCATTGGGATCTCCAATGTTCATTCATGGCCTCACACAGGACCAGTGTGCTCTGAATCCTGTTTCCATCCTGGGGCTGGATATTTTTTTCATATCATTCTAAGACCAACACACAGGGATCATGCAACTGTCAATCTGTAGGATGTCCATCCAAAAGGTTTAAGGTTCATGTTTTTTAAAGACCAGGATAGCAGGACTTAATGTGCTGCAGGGACAACCTGTTGCAGTTGCATCAACCCACATGGGTCTCCACAGCTGTAATGGTCACATATTCCTTGGGAAAAGGTACAGAATGCAAACATGGGTCGATCCATCAGAGAATACCGAGTTTCACTCACGTGTCTCACTGGCTTCTGGCGCGACTTGGGGGTCTTCCCGGTCTCGTTCGCGCTCTCGGGCCTCTTCCCGATCGGCGCACGGCGTTCGACGGGCTTGGTCGTCACGGCACCGTCGCTCTCCACGCGACACATCCGCTTCTTTGGGCTCAGTCTCACCGCATCCATGATGGCAGATGCATTGGACGTGCACGAGGTCTCGCTCGTGCTCGTCGTCTCTGCCGACCTGCCGAGATCGCGCTCCGCTTTCTTTGGAGATGGCTTTGCAACCGGTCGGTGGTGGTCCAACCTGTTGTTCTCTCGCTTTCCCGGGGTCGGCTTCTGGACGTCCGAGGTTCCAGAGTTTGAGGAGTGAGGTTTCCTCGCTTCACAAGAAGGTGTTTTGAACTTATGCGATTCACTGTGATTCACATGATGTTTCTTGTCCTCAATGACACTTTCACCGAGGGGGGCAACATTTTCGTTCTTCTTGTCCGTATGAGGTTTCTTCTCATTTTTCACCGAGGGAGTCAGGGGCTTCAAGTCTTCATTCACCTGCAATGGATATTTTAAAGGCAAATTAACACGAGAATCCCCGGGTGAAAGCCGACCGAAGGGTCTCGCAGCGGAGACGTGCCTTCTTCACGTGTCCGTTCAAGTCGACGTGGGCTTTATTTTTCATCAGGGAGGTCTTCTTGCGAACGATGGAGGAGGAGGAGGAGCTGCTCGAGTCCCGGTCGCTCTCGTGTCCGTCGGACTCCGATCCCGATCCACCGGAACTGACGCTGCTGCTCCGACCGCTACTCTCCGAGTCGCTTCCCTCCTGCAAGATTAAACATCAAGTTCTGGGTCAAGTATGGTGAAATACAAGAGATCACTACCCAAATACTCATGTGCTGAAAGATGAAAAACATCGAGTGTAACTCCTCCACAGTGCATGATAAACAAAAGCCAATTCAGGCAATACTGATGACCAATTGGTATTGATACCTCTCACTTGGTTATACATTATAGACACCTCTCACTATATGGGTTATACATTAAAAAACAGTACATGAGGTCAATTCCACAAATGAATGGAATCTTGAATAACTTGTCCCTGGAAATAAATTTGTGACACACCAGGCTCTTAACCTGATTTAAGAAAGCAACTGATAAGAATGAGACATTAGCTAATGGCAGCTCTTTGTTTTTGAGCTCATTCCTAAATATTTGCAACATCCATTTAAATCATCATAAACTCTGGGCTTCAACAAGTACTTTTGGATAACTTTGATCAACAATGAAAAACGAAAAAGTAAATTATTACTAAGACTCAATAAAATAAGACCTAGATTGATGCAGCCAACTAAAGTTCAAAATCCTAGAAGTTCACAAGGATTAACCAGCTCTACCATGTATTAAAGAATTCCTGCCGTTGTTAATGCTCAAGGGCACTATGCATGGGATAATCACCATAAATAAAGAAAGTGAGCAACTTACTCGACTTGAATGAGATCCAGAGCCATCATCGTCCTCGTCTTCGTCTTCAGAACCCGATGTTGTCTCCCCTTCGGCATCATAATTTGAGTCTTCCTCTCCCCCAGCACTCCAGCTACCAACTGTTGAGTTAGTGGGTGGTCTGGCAAAAGAAAATAAAAACTCAGATAAGACAGAAAATACAAAATTTTCCATCAGCCTTCATCATGCAAGGGAACAAATTATTAAGGACAGAACAGAATCCAGAAATATGTCCTGATTCTTGAGATTAAGTGAGAACTATTTCAAGAATAAATAGAAAGTAGTATGCTTAACTTGAGACAGCCAAAAAACATATTTTCACTCCATGGTTAGAAGCAGAAAAGATCATTCACAGGTTTACATTTTATGTTTACACCTGCAATACTTCAAGCAAAGGCTACATCTTGAAGCACACGATACAGCATCGACTCATACCCCGAGGGTTCGGGCCGCTTCTCGGGTGAAAAAACGGCAGGGTGCGCCGGCGAGTCGCGGAGGGCCCGCATGTCCACGGTGGAGGGGAGGGAGCTCTCGTTGCTGTCCTCCCCTTCCTCCTCCATCCATGCATGGCCGTGGTGAGACAAGACAGGGTGGGCATGGGTGCTCAGTGGACTGAAGGGATGGTGGAACGGGGTCTGGGGACTCCCGAGGTAGTTCGGGTAGTCGGTCGGGAGGAGCAACGCTGGAGGACTCGAGTGCAATGGCGAAAACAGCCTGGATTCCTGGGAAACACATGCAAAACCACCTTTAAACATCATACACGAGTGCAAATAAACGGGGAGATACAGTGCGGAAGCGTTCGTGTTCGATCGCAGAAAAATCAGAAAACATTTTTGGTCATTTTTGAAAAGCTGACCTTGGTGTTGACTGTGACAGCATTGAGGTAGGTTCTACCGTTTGAGTCATTCATGATACATGAGTACGCGTCACATGATGCCCATCGCAGCAACACCTCCAAACGTGACACCTACATTAACCTGGACACTCACCAAAACAATCCAACAAAGTGGATGCAGTTTTCCATCTTTCAAAAAAAAAAAAAAACTAAAATTAGGTCTCAAGCAAATTAAACTCTAACTTCTGAGCATAGACAGCAGTTGATTCACAGGGTAAGAGTGACTCCAGTTTCTTAATTTAATTTACTCAAGACTGAATCACATTTAATAGTGATTTCACATTACCACATTCGTTTGATTTCCACATTCATTCCACGATACACATAATTAAGCATATTCTAGCACAATAAGGAGAGAATTTTTAGAAGCAATTGCAACATTCCCTGTTATGAAAGCTTTTCATCCTTCAAAGACTGAACTAGGCCTATACTCATTTCATCAAACCCACACTTGACCACATGCGAATCCAATCCTCATCGTTAAAAATACGTATCTGAAGTGGCTTAAACTCCATCTGCGAAAATTGCAAAATCCAAGCACGTGCAATTCCCGACTTCAAAATCTAAAATTATGTCTCGCCTGGGCCAGCGAGTTTAATCTCAATTCACCGTCGGCGCGACCCAACTTCGGCCTCGTGGCAGAAGCGCTGACCGGCTGCCAAATCCGTTTGGCAGCCCAAACAGCCCACATCAGACGCAGGTTGCCCTTCCCAACGCATGGCTCATCGTGTAAACCTCATGAATAATTTTTTCTCTTTCTTCCTCTCTTTGTTCTTTTCACTTTTCTGTTTCCCTTTGCACTGTTCCTCCTCACTTTCTCGACTCATTAGGCCTATACATGCCATTACACATGCTATCGACCACACACCTAAACATTAATCCACAGGCTTGTCCGTCACATAACGTTTGGCCCAGCCCACGAACGACTCTCGGCCTACGCCTGATGGCGAAGCATCGCACCTGCCCCATAAGAACAATGTCCCCTTCGTCGCCATCTTGACGCGCCCACGGGCATGCAGTGGCGACATCTTTCGAACCGAAACGACAACTACTATTCCCCGCTCGAAGTACAGAGAGAAGGAGCTTCGCCTGTTCGGTGTCGAGCGGAATCCTAGATGACAGAGGAAATCCTCGTCGACGGAAAAATGCGATCGGCAGGAAAGAAGAAACTCGCGGCCGAGGATGTCGCGGATTCGGCGGGATTCGGCGGTGCTGAGGCGGATCTGCGGGCTCTGGGTGGCGGCGGCGGTGGGTGCTGTGGGCGCGCCGGGTCGAAGTGAGTCTACCCTTCCCCTGTTTTTTTTATGCTGCTTTTGAAAAGTTCGGGGGTTTTTTGGGGGGAGCCGATGCACTCGGCAGCTGGGAGGGTCGCGGATTTCACTGTTTTTTTACGTCTGGGCGGGTTTTCCGCTTAAAAGCGTTTCATGTGCTCCGTATTCCGCTTTTGGGAATGGCCGAATGGTAAAACCATAAACAATATGCATATGATTTGAGAACTTCACCCCAAAAAAGGTCATATTGTTTTCTCGTCGAGAAGGCAATCGATTCGCCCCAGCGGAATTAGATCGTAGGCCTAGAGCGCGCGGATAGAGACCTCCGCGGGCCCGCGGGAAGGTCCGAGTTCCCGCGGAGGGCGAAGCGAGCCTCCCGGTTTCCCGCTTCCGGCGGGAAGGCTCTATCGTCGACGGAATCGCGGAGTCACCGCGGAATGCAACGGTGACGAACGTCTGTCGGCCTGTTTGCCCGCTTTTCTGCTCTTTCGTTGGCTGACATACCCACATTTTCCCGCCTTTTCCCGCCTTTTCCCGCCTTTTCCCTCACGTTTGGAGAGCAACGCCAGAATTCGAAATTGTAATTTTAGCTGAGTGCCGCGGACTCGCGATCAAATGATCAATGATCATTGATCGAGATCATTGCCGACAGTTGTCATGGCAACAACGACGATGCTATTCTCATCGTCGAAATTCGACCCGATTACGCCGAGATACTTTTTTGGACTTTCGACCCAATCTTCGACCCACAAGTTCGACCCATTGAGTACCGTCCAGTAGGTGAGACTCCTCGAGGGCATGCAAGACCGACAAACGACTGCTCGCGCCGCGGCCGAAGCGAAACGGGCGGCGTGAAAGGAATTCGGCGACGAAATGAAAGGGTTGAGGAGCACTTTATGGGTCGAGGAGCACTCTGTGGGTCGAGGAGCACTCTGTGGGTCGAGGAGCACTCTGAGGAGCTCCTGAACAACAATCGACACCGACCTGTACGACCTGGAGCCTCTCAGCGCGGAGACTCGTCTCGCCGTGGAGGAAATTCTGCAGGCCATCGTCGGCCTGAAGAATGGAAAGTTTCCCGGTTTAGATGAAATCCAAGATTGGGAAACCGGTTCCTCTTTCTAAGAAGGGAGTGAACGAACCGCCAAGGAATCTCTCCTTCGGCATACCCGGTAAAATCTATTCCAAAGATGCTGGAAAAGGGAGCGAGAGGAGCCATCCGAGAGGAGCCATCCGAGAGGAGCCATCCAAGAGGAGCCATCAAAGAGGAGCAGTGGGAATTTCGTTCGGGGCGCTGCACCACCCACCGGCATTTCGCCCTCCACCAGATCCTCGAGAGGCATCGGGAGCAAGCCGAGGATGTTTACGTGTGGACCTCAAAAAAGCGTACGACCGTGTGCCCCGAGGGAGGTGCCGTGAGGAGATGCTGCAAGAGCATGCGATGGAAGGTCATGCGTGCCGTTCAGTCCCCACACAGCGACTGCAGGAGCCACTGAAGGCGAGCGGAAGAAGGCTGTCGCCGACGGGAGGCTGTCGCCGACGGGAGGCTGTCGCCGACGGGAGGCTGTCGCCGACGGGAGGCTGTCGCCGACGCCTGGATTGGGTCGACAGCGCTGGACGGTAAAGGTGGATTTATGCCGAGCGGAAAACGGCGCGGAAAACGGAAGCCAGCGGTCGCATTTAACACAAAACGGAAGCCAGCGGTCGCATTTAACACAAAACGGAAGCCGCTGGCCGGAGGCGGACTCCTTCGACGGAAGGAGCGGAATTTCCGTTACGGCAAAAATAGTCGTCCGTCAGCGAACCAATCCAGTCGCTGGAGACCGAATGGACGGAAAATGTTTAATACTACTACAACTAAATACTACTAATACTAAATACTAATACTAAATACTACCACTCGGAGAAGTACATCGCGGAAGTACGGAGCCACGCCCATTTGCATGGAATCAAATGACTAAACAGTAATATAGTAACCATACTAAATAGTAAAATTAAATAGTAAATAGTAACTAAATAGTGCAATGAAGAAGAATCAGCAGGAAACCATCGGGAAAGAGTTTAGACGTTCGGGCGAGTCCAAATCATTCCTCGCATGTAATTCACTCTCTCCAACTGAGTATAAACAAATAACACGGGTCTCAGAAATAATTGCCCTCACGAGAGAGTAACTCATTTAAATATCTCCCTTATGTCACGCCCCTCACTCTTGATCTTAGTCGCCCCGTGCTGCTGAAATCGTCTCGGAAAAACTTAATTAGTACTAATTAAAACTTAATTAGTAGTCGTGAGTACTTCAGCCTTGTACCTGTCTCTTTTTTTTTTTTACGCTGCCGAGAATGACCAGAGTTTTCAGCTTTGCCAACTTACAGCCGAAATTGGCTGTGAAGCGAATTCCGAAGAAGTCGCGTGGGAATCCCGTAGAGAATTGCGCAGAGAATTGCACAGAGAATTGCACAGAGAATTGCACAGAGATTGCACAGAGAAATGGGATGAGGGGGCTTGAAACGATAGAGATATTTTAAATGAATACTGAGAGTGCCATTATTTCTGAGACAGCCAATTTGGAAATGTCGATTTTTTTTTTGCGGATACTTGGCTTGCAATATTTGCCCGGTTTTCATTTAATTACCATTTAATTAAAATAATTAATTAATTTTCATTTAATGATGTCGAATCTCTCCAGCTACTGAATCGCGACTGCGGAAGGCGGAAATTTCCGCGGTCGAGCTCGACGAAATTCCGCCATCCGCCATCCAATCGACCTCGAGGTCGAACCGTCCTCAAGGTCGATTTATAATCGACCTCGAGGACGGTTCAATTCCTTTGCCGGAGATGCCGTCATTTTGACGTGTTCCCGATCGGTCTGCGGGGAAACGACCGAAAGAGCCAGATCTCGGATCCGTCGGTAATCGGACTGGTAATCAAATCAGACAAATGATAGTTCCCCCCCCCCCCCTCTAATTAATGATAGATGAATCAATAAGAATCCAGGCAGAGAGTTCAATGATCATCCAGACTTTCCCTTGGTTCGCATCGATTAACTCTGGCTGCATATTTTCACTTTTGGATTTTTTGGACAGCTCGCACTCCCACCTCGCAGAATGCCAACAAAATCTCGATCGACGTTAGGCGAACGCATCACCACGGAGTAAATCCAGAGAAATCAGCCTCAGCGAGAAAAATCCACGAACTCAGGCGAAACGAGACTGGCGATTCTTTCCACGCCATCTCGCACGAAACCTCGCATCAGAAGACACTCGACCGCGCATACCTCCCGAACTGCACCGACCTGACCTCCTCGGTGGATGGCTCTCAGTCGACGGACCTCCTCGGTGGATGGCTCTCAGCCGACCCGACCTCCTCGGTGGATGGCTCTCAGTCGACGGACCTCCTCGGTGGATGGCTCTCAGCCGACCCGACATCCTCGGTGGATGGCTCTCAGTCGACGGACCTCCTCGGTGGATG